CTGAGGTTAAGAAACATGGCTGTAATGAGTGACCCAGGAGCATATTACTGAAGGGAACTCAGAGGTATGCAGGGAAAGAGGTGAATTAATACAGAATGCATGGGAAACTACAGAAAGAGAAGCCTTCCGTTCTATGTTCCGTTCACACTACAGATGCTGATCTGTAAGGGATTTAAATATCTTCAGGAACACGTTAAGAGAACCAGTTTAGTCAGCTGGTGAAGCCATTGGCCTTTCTCCTCAATCTTGTTCCTCTTTAGAAAGGAGAAGGGGATTGATTCATGAATGATGGACCTCCTGCTTCTGCTTCTGATGTGGCTGCTGGTGCCCCAGCCCATTTTGGAGAAGATGAAACTGAAGGGCCCACTGAGTTTGGAGCACCAGGATGCAAAAAAGCCATCGAGTTATTGCAAGCCAGGAGACATTAGTGTAATCACCAGTTTATCAAATAGATTCCCTGAAGTGCTGACTTTTGACATAACTCCTTATAATTATTTCAGTGTGTTGCAGAAAATGACAGGCTTTAGACGTCTCAGGATACAGGAAAAGTTTATTTGGCAGCCAGGTTCAGAAAGTTAGCAAAATTGCAAATTCTGAACATTCATTATCAAAGCACATGTTCTTATACATTCTCAAAGGCAGCATAACATGGAAACACTTAACTCATTTCTTATTGGTTACCTTGAGGAAAGAAGTCTTATAAGTAAGTAAGTAAGTAAAATCTTTATTACGGTCAAAGACCAGCAATAAACATTAGTTTTTACACTATATTAAAAAATACTAACATTAAAATATANAGAATTATGTGGTCGCCTCCGCCGAGAACATGACTTCACTGTCGGACAACTCTGTGGACGTGGTGGTTTGCACGCTCGTGTTTTGCTCTGTGAATAACACCCAGGCTGCCTTGAAGGAGATCTTGCGAGTGCTCAGACCAGTAAGTCAAAGAGCAAAGAGGGAAAGTTAATTCTGGGGTGTCCAGACAAATGAATAATAGGTACTAGGTAGGTGAAAATACACACTATGCAGGTGTGCATAGGAGCAAGGGCTTTAGATCCCATAAAAACAGAATCTGTCTGCTGCTCTTTATGCTGCTCATTTTCGGGCTTAACCTGAACCAGATCCCTTCCTTATTTATTTATTTATTTATTTATTTATTTATTTATTTATTTATTTATTTATTTATTTATTTATTTATTTTTATTTTGTACAAGGTAACAGGTATTAGTATAGACATGGACAAATAAATGGATATAAATAAGTATTACATGAACACATAAAATGTGCACATATCAAAGGAGACAGTAGGACAGGGACGGTAGGAATGCTGGTGCGCTTATACATGCCCCCTTAGGGACCTCTTAGGATACATGTGAGGTCCACAGAGGACAATTTAAGGTTAAAGATATGGAGGTTTGAGGAACTAATAACAAAATCAGGTAGAGCAGAGATGGCAACACTTTTTGTAAAGGCATCCCAAAATTGTGTGTGCATGCACTATTCGGCACATGCGTACCTGCCCACAACACAATGGAATGCATCCCACCCACCCCCTGCTCATGTGCACAAAACCCCCACCTGTACAGAGAAATTTAGCAGTCATTTCAATGGGTGAAATAGTTATTCTGCAGCATTATCTTCCAAATAGGAATTGTGGAATTGTTCCTAGCACCTGGAATGTGACTAAAATCCAGATTTTTTTTTTAATGTTTTGTGTTAAAGAATGTTTAATGTAATGTGGCTTGGTGGGGGGGTGTCATGTGACTGGGTGGGCGTGGCCAACTTTTTTCACTTTTTAAAGCATTTTTTCCCCTGCCAATTCGCCCAAACCGGCAGGGAAAAATTGCTTTAAAAGGGGGGGGGGGAGTTTCCGAGGATTGTGCAACTCAGCTGTGAGCTACGCAATCATTGGAAGCTCTTTTTTTAGTTTTTTAAGCATTTTTCGCTGCCGGTTTGCCTGAAAAAAGAGAAAAATGGTTTAAGAAGCAGAAAAGTTTCAACTCCTGAAATATAAGAGAACAAGGTCTTTTTAATAAAGGTGTCATGGCACGAAATCCTGCAACAAATATCCAATTCTACACAAAACTCTATTTGTATCCAAAAATCATTCTTATTGAGTGGAAACTTTCTACTCCATGTCCAAATTATTCCACTGAAATTACAATCTGACCCACAAGCAGGGGAGTCTCCTTTTTTTCCCTTTTGATCCCCACAGTGGATAACCTTATCCACAAGTAAGCCAAGGTAGAATTGCTTCGTGCCTCTTTTTTAGCAAGAGGTCTTATATATTTATAGAAGCCTCTCTGAGCAACCAGTGACAGAAGGAATAATTCAAGGGCTTGGTGCAAACCTGTGCGAACCGGATGAATACCATCTCGGCTAAGAGATGATCAAGCATTGCAGCAATCCTGGCAAAAAGTTCAAGAATGAATCACAATGTTCACAATGTTTCAATGTCCTGAGGGTTGGGTGGGTTTTTTTCCACAGGAAAAGATTTGATGCCAGAAGTTCCAACTTTCATATAAATCAAGTCACAATTCAGGCATATTACTGTTTGAGAGCAATAGTTCTAAGCAAGCTGTAATTCACAATATGCTACCCTTGAAATATGGTACTTCTGCTCTCCTATTTTTGAGTCATTCAGCTTGGCACATACAGAGTGATCTGAAGTTTTTGGTGAGATCTGGCTGTTCAGAATAAAAAAAAGGTCA